GACCTGGGCAGTGTCACGTATCCCTCGTAAGCACAGAGCAGCATTCAGGAAGCAGCCGGTATAAGCATCCTCTGAGCAGCGATGCTTTGCCTGGTGGCATCCTCAGCCCTTACAAGACTTCACAGAGCCTCCCCTCTGTTTGCATGTCAGGAGGTGTTCCTTCCTCATCACAGTGCTGTATATTCAGCGTTAAAAGCACCTGGGGTTTAAAAAATCTGCTAATTCCCTTGGCAAAAGGGGGAGGAGGGGCAGTTTTTCTAAGTGTGCAGCTGCAGAAACTCCAGATTGCATTTCTCAAGCATGCAGGCCCTGTTCCTTATCAGTGACCAGGCCAGGTTCCCACTCTCCTAAGAAACTCCCTATCAGTGCCGTAGCAAGTGGTGCAAGTGTGGCGACTGCCCCAGGCGTCTAAACGAAGGGGGACAACAGGCACGAGGCTTGGGACAGAGCCATGAGTGGCTCTTTGCAGGGGTGCGGGGATGGGGGAAGGGCGGCTCCCACTGCTGCATGCACTCCCAGGCAAGGGGGAAGGGCCTGGATCTGTGCACAGGGCAAAGGTGGGCTGCCACTGCGGGTTTTGCCCTGGGTGCCAAACTTCATTGCTATGGCACTGCTCCCTATTTCCTCTCTTATCTCTCCTTCCGTTTCCTTTACAAGCACCTTTTCTCTCCCAAACTTTTTTCTCTTCCATCCCTTTTCTCTATGCATTTGTCTTTCTCTCCTCTGTTGTCATTCCTCCCCTTCTCTCCACTGACAGAGTCCATTTCTCCTTAATTTCGACTTTATTCGTCCTTTGCCTGTCCCATACATGTTCTTTCCTTCTTTCACACTTTATCGGAGATATATTTTGTACCTCTGGGAGCAGCCTGCAATTGTATTTTAAATTCTTAATGCTTTGCATGTGTATTGCACTTTCAATGAGGTTTAATATACTAGATCTAGTAAAAGTGTTTCAAAAGTCAGAAGGCAGTTGGCTCCAGAATCTGTGCAGCCTATTAGGTACGTAAGTCGACTTAGGCGCCTACGTACAATTCTGTTACACTCTGCGGGAGTCCCTGGAAAAATGTTAATGAAAAGGGTGGGTGGGTCTTCCTTCTGATCTCTGCTTTTTAAGACTTAGTCTTAAGGCTAAGATGACAGTGTGTTACAAAAGTAGCATGTTAATTGTTTTAGGAACTTGAGCAGGGTGGGATAAGATCACATTTGGATGCAAAATAGATGGACTCAAATTTGGCCCTTTCTGTCTTTTCTCTCCTTTGTTTTTTCTTCCTTTTTTTCTCTCTAATGTTCTCTCTTCCTCTCCTTCCCCTGTCTCTCTTTCTTCTCTGCCCTGTCACACTTCTTCTTGGGTGCCTGTACACATGCGGGATGCCTGCACCAATGCGTGTTGGAGCAGACTCGATTAATTAAGTCTGATGGCGCATTCTAATTAGGATGCTTCAGCAGCATCACCATCATGTGTATTCAGCATCCCCACGTTTCAAAATGGCGGCAGGGGCACTTTAACTAAACTTGCTGAATGAGCTTTAATTAAAGCACCCTCGCCGCCATTTTGAAGCATGGGACACTGAATACATGAGACGCTGCAGGCATTTTAATTAGAGTGGCTCCCAAGATTAAAACGCTCCTCTGGTCCCCCACCCTGGAGCATGTATATAGATGCCCATGATCATAGTTTTCCATCGCTTTAATAGTAAAAAGACACCCCTCTCTTCTCTCCCATTCTTTATGTACTTTCTTTTTGTCTTTCTTCTTCATTCCTCTTTTCTGCCCTCTCTTAACACTGCAAATTTTTCACAAAGCTTATACTAATTCCCCATGTCAACAACACTTTCTGTTGGTACGGCTTCAAATACACAAGGGCTTTTGCCTAGGGCTAGTTGGGAATTTTCTGGCAAAATAGCTTTTCAGCATAAGATGTTGACTCATCTGAAGCACCAGGTTTTTGCAGGCATGTACCAACTTGGATGTAGAAGGTAGAACTTCTAGTAAAAGAATAAAGCTCTTCCTAACTCAGTAGTCTTGTGGCCGGGCACTTCCTTGGAATTTAGACAGCCCTAGGTTTAAGTAACTGGCCTAATAAAGGGTATAATTTTGCAAGGTATGGATTTGCACCCGTACTTAAACTACCAACTCTTTTAAACTATGGGACGGCTGAATTAGGATTGTTGTTTGGAACTGGCACTCAAATCAGTGTGGTAGATCTGTTTTCCCCACATCTTTGGGTAAGCTTAGCTTCCAGCTTCAACTCTTAACCTTATGTCTAATTATCATTCCTCTTTACCCTGCAGACCCTGTTAAATCCCTTAATCTCATTTAAGCAACCCCTTAAAGAGCGTGGCTGAATAAACCATGTCACAAGTGGATCTAGTAGTGAGATTCCTATGACAAAATTGTTATTACAGTTACAACTGGGTTTGGAGCTACAAATTTGTATTTAAATCTGAGCCCAGATTTTGGATTCCACAGCATTTACAGGAAGTTGGGGGTGGGGGTGGAAAAGGAGGGCCGGCTCAAGGCAAGGCAGGACTCAGAAATATTAAGAATTAGAAATATTCTTAGCCCATTGTGGAGATTAGTTGCAACATCCAATATCCTGAACTGTGCAGAGCATCTCCAAAATAGTGATTTGACTCCTCCCTCATTATTTTCAGTACTGACGTAAGAGAATGCTGGATTATTTTTGGCAAGTTAAGAAGGGAGAAAAAAATCCTTAACACTGGCAAAGGTAGTCTGCGTGAGCGGGAAATTACTGCGTGAAGAAAATGTGTAATTTCTCCTAATCTTTTTCACAGAGCCAATTTTCTGACTAAAACTACTATTTACACCCAGTATCTGAACGCTCCTGAACTATAGAGAAGTTCAGACTCCAAAACAAACCTTTCATCCTGTGCCCAACTGTAAACCCACAGCACTTTTGGCTCCTCTTTGTCCCTGTGTGACCACTAGGGTTACCATATTTCCAGTTTTAAAAAAGGGCACACCTGTTGGGGGGACACCTCATTCCCAACCCATAGCCCCCTGGTCCTGCCAGTGCCCCTCACTCCCAACCTGCAGCCCCTTGGTTCTGCCAGTGTGCCTCACTCCTGACCCACAGTTCCTTGCCCACCCCTACCCTCCCACTAGCTATGCTGGTGACTCTCAATCCCAACCTGAAGCCTGCTCCTTATAGACTTACCTGCATCCAACTGCCGGGGCACATGCCCTCCCCTGCTCCCACCAGAGGAGTGGAGCAAAATCCCAGACATTGGTTCAGATTTTAAAAAACTGCCCAGACAGAGATGGGAGGACCCAAAAAGGGGACATGTCCAGGAAGACCTGGATGTATGGTAACCCTACTGATCATTCTAAGACAGTCACTGAAATGGGATTAAAAATAGATTCTTTCCAAATCAGATGAGAAAAGTTGATAAGAAACCATAAAATGGTCTTTCTATCAATGAGATGTGATCTCCCTTGCAATCCCCTCCAATTCTGAACTGTTGCCACTTTCTAGAATCAAACCCTTTAGCTGGTTCTGTACCCAACAGGGAATTTACTCCTCAGGGTTTCTGCCTAGGATTAAAAGCCTGGCTCTTTGATTGAGTCAACCATTTTGCTATGGTTTGGCTGATGAAGGGGCTGTAAGGAGGGTGGAGGGTGAGTTTCTCTGGAACTGGAAAGAGCACATAATGATTTGTGGTCAGGAACTGATTCCGGTTGTAGAGGCCGACTTTACACAGCAGAATCACTCAGCATGGAGAGTCTCTAGCTTCATATAGGGGGTGTGCTGTCCAGATGCATCTTTTGAGGTTTCTGTTTCTTTTAGAGGTTCCTGAGCATCTCCCTCACCTCCGAACACAGCGCACCACCATTTCATAAAGAACCTCCCAAACACAGCTAGCTCGTCCTTCTATAGCAGGGCTGGAGTGTTGCATTACTGTGTTGCCACCATTACAGGGCAGCAACAGCACACTATCTCAAGTCACAGCAAGGTAAGTTTAGGTTGGATATTAGGACAAAATTTCTCACTAGGAGGGTGGCGAAGCACTGGAATAAGTTGTCTAGAGAGATGGTGGAATCGCCATCCTTGGAGGTTTTTATGGTTCAGCTTGACAAAGCCCTAGCTGGAGTGATCTAGTTGGGGATGGTCCTGCTTTGAGCAGGGAGTTGGGCTCAATGACCTCCTGAAGTTTCTTCCAACCCAAATTTTCTATGATTATATATATAGATAGATAGATAGATAGATAAATAAAAATTTCACTCCATCAGCAGACACAACACACATGTAGATAGATAGATCAGTGGTCAGCATTGTTTTTGGGTAGTGCCAAAAACACCCACAACCTCAACTTGTAAGATATTGGTGTGCCAAAGGCAGATGGCGAGGGAGCCGTGAGGGGCCTAATCCTGGTTGTGGCAGCACAGCCCCAGCCCCTTTCCTGCCATCCACCCTGAGGCACGCATGCCAAGTCAAATGCCTTTGCATACCATGCTCTGGCACCCATGCTGGGGGTTGCCTATCCCTGAGATAGATAGATAGATAGAGTGAGTGAGTGAGTGAGTGATATCTAGATAGATAGATAGATACAGACACACAGATAGATAGACAGACAGATGAATATTTAGACAGACAGATGGACAGGTGGATGATAAATATTTAGACAGACAGACAGATAGATAGATAGACTCCACCTCCATCATGTGTTTCCAGGGCAGCAACAGCCCTACCAGCTCTTTCCCCCCCCGATCGCCCCCTCTCCTCCCGGCCCTCTCTGCCGGGAAGCGCAGCCCCAGCCCAGGGGAGGCGGAGCTGCCAGACGCTGCCTTGTAAGGGGCGCTGCGCTTGTTTCAATTTCCATCGATGCAAACGTACAATCCTGACATGGGAGGTCACAAGACCTCTGCTTTTTTTTCTCCTCTCAGCATCAGGCGAGACAGGCGGGGGCTCGTCCTTGCCCCGCCCCTTCACCAAAGCCATAAATAGCGGCTTTGAGTCATAAACCTCAGACTAGTGGCATCAATCCCAGGGCGAGTGTGCAGCGAAGACCGACCCAGCCAGCGCAGCGCATCGCGTAGGACCGCGGAGGAGGGGCAGGGAGCAGGCTCGGATCGCTCCAGCACCATGGACCGCCCGAAGGTAAGGGCAGCACGGGGGCCTCCCCCAGCATCTTCTTGCCGCACCTGGTGCAGCCGCGATTGCCTTCAGAGAGCCGAGGAGCAGCCGGACCCCGCGGGGTTTTGCACGCCCAGCCCAGCCCAGCCCAGCCGGCGGGGTTAGTCCGGCCCCGGGGCTGGGGGCGAGGTGCTGAGTGGCCCAGGATGCAGAGGCTTTGCTGTGGTCCGGGGGAAGCTCTTGCACCAAAACCAGCCCCCGCCACATAAGGTGGAGGAAGGCAGTGGGATCGCCATCCTTGGAGGTTTTTTATTTCTAGGCAGACAAAGCCTTGGCTGGGATGATCTAGATGGGGTTGGTCCTGCTTTGAGCAAAGGGTGGGACTAGATGTGACCCCCTTCTCATCCGAATGATGTGCAGGGAGGGGTTTCTGTGGGGTTGTTGCAAGTCATGGCATTTGTTTGCACCTGGTGGGGGCCTGGCTTTCCAGGTTGTCCTTGCTTTGGCATCTTGTTACTTGGCACAAGATGTGCTTTGCTGGCTGAGCAATAGCTGTTTGGGCCGGCGTGGACCGAGATGACGGTGCACTCACGATAATGAAAGGACAGTGGCTCTCACTGGGGTCCCCTCCCCTGATAAAAGCAAGTCATCTTCCAGTCTGAACAGATCAGGGTAGGCAGGATCTCTCCCTTTTTTGCTGCCAGAGGGCTCGTGAGCCTTTGTCAGCATCTCTGTGGACCTGCAACCACACGTGTTGTGTCTGCTGATGATGGAGTGAAATGATTCACAGTGTGTGCTCCGGAGCATTAAAGATAAAGAGGGAGCAAGGAAGAGGCACAGAAAGAGACAGGGAGGGAGGGAGGGAGGGAGGGGATGCAACAGCCAACAGGGCTGTTTGATCCTGATGCTCTTTCAAGGATACCTGGGGGTTATTTTGTGGCATAAATAACCCAGTAGCCATCAGAAGGCACAGCCGGGGCTTTGGATACTGATTCTTAAGGTAGCAGAGGAAAAGGGGAGGGAGGGAGCTGCCAGCCAGCATCTCAGCCAAGGTCATTTAGAGGAGAGTAAAAGAGCTGCCCAGCAACAAGTGGCACTCTTCTGGAATTGTGGGCTGTAAAATGGGAAAGGAGCTGATAGGAAATGGCTCCCTGGATAACCCACATGCAGGTGGACCTTGGTGATGCTGCAGAGGGGCAGGGGTTGTGCTTTGAATTCTCCACCCCAGACACATCCTTAGGGTGTGTGGATCCCACCCTGGTCTTTCTATGTGGGTGCCTTCTGGGGAGGCTCCACTGGGAGTAGGGAATGTACCTTAGCTTGGAGCCCTGCTTACTTCAGGGTATGGGTGGGGCCATGTTGTGTAATGAAATGAGAGATGGGATGTGTATAGACTAGAAAAGGCAGATGACATGGAAAAGGGTGGAGAACACCAGGGAACTGTGCCCACTGTGCTCCCCATTTGTGTGGATAAAGCATGCCCTCCTGTGCTTCAGGTAACAGGAGACCTGAACTGGACAGGGAGGGAACCATGACACAACAAAGCCCTTAGTGTGATTATGGAATGAAAAAATGGGAGGTTTAGACATTGTTTCCAGCCCCATGTACCTTTAAAGATGTGGTATCTTGGTCTGTCTGTTCTCAGTTCCTCGTCTGTAAAATGGAGGTAGTGATAGTTCCTACATCATTGGGGTGGTTGCAAGGTAAAGCAGTTAATACTTGTGAGGCAGCTGTGTCCAAACCAGTGCCATTTGGAGTCTGGTGCAGCATACAAGCTTCTGACCAGCCCTGGACTTGGCCTTCTTAGTCTTTCTATGATAGCGCAGGGGGAACAGCTCTGAATTTGCAGCATTTGCAATCTCAAGGATGACTGAGGCTGGGTATGGAATGGAAGGAGGTACCACAACAGGCCTCCACAGTAGTCCCAGTCATCTGTGGTGAAAGCAGAGCCCGGCAGCTCCCCTTGTCAATATCTTTGGAGGAGTCCCAACCCCTACTGTGTGAGGCAGGAGGGGGTGTTGAGGGTACACCTTCTTACTAGAGCCAACCCTAAGTGCTCAAAAATCCCACATAAGTGCCCCCCGTCTCCCCCCGACAATCACAAGATTGGCTTGAGGAAAACCATATTTTTGCATTTCTGATTTGCTTCTGGACTTTGGGCCTTTACCATTCCCATGGGGCAGGTTTTCAAGCTTTTCTTTGTAGCCTGAGGGCTTGGAAACTCGGTTTATTATTTTATTGAAAATGGAGATTCATTTGACTCCTGTAGAGGAGGCTTGAAGAACAAATACCAAGTATTGTGAGACTCTTAAGTTGGCAGTGATTGCCCTCTGGCCTGCAATACAGAAATCTGCCACCATCAGCGCCCTGGTGCAGGGCAGCTGGGCCCCACATTGGGAAGGATGCAGGTCTTCATGACAGTACAGAGCACCAATCCCTTTGGACTGGATTCCACTCTCATACGGGTGCAACTGAGATGCACTGACACAGATATCCAAGGCTCCAGTCACCTGGCATGGGAAGCTTTATGAAAGATTATACCTTAGTCACATGCCAAGAGGCAAAAATCTACTTCTCATTAAAGAAGATAAGCCAAATATAACAGCCATTCACTAGCATAGCTTCCCAAAGAGACACAGATAGAGGATGGAGGTCAGGGGAAGCACACACAGGAGAGGACTCTTCTTCCTTATATTGGACATCAGTAATACTCTCTGAATCTTAGATAGGTTCCTGATCCCCCAGTCCCTTTTTTGGTCTCAAATGAATTCTTTCTTCAGTGGCTTGTTCAGGTACCCACTGGGTGCTTGTTGCTTCTTTTTCTATGTGTGCATTTGGATGATACTTCCTAACACAGTGTATCCTCCAGACAGACAAGTGTGGCTGCCTTCCTTGGTTTTGTTTAGATATTTTTTTTTTTCTTCTGGGAAGGCCAACCCAGGGAAAAGACCATATCATATGGCTTCTGTGGAGGATTATAGCTGTTATTTCGCAGGTTCCTGGCTGATTCTGCTTTACTTCAGACCCCATGCAATCAGGATGCATGATGCATGGTTTTCGGCAAGAGAATCCAGTTACATGGGCATGGGTCGGTATGCAGAAGGCTTCAAGAGCTAGCATTACCTCCATCATGTTCCCAGCCCCTCTTGGCCTCCAGTGAATAGAAATGGGTGAAATGTAGTGGACTAGTGGTTTATTCACTGAAAAATTCAACTGAGCCTATCTGTAAATTTGTGTCAAATTTGAAAAAGAGCTCTGTCCCCCCAAAAATCGAAAACAAAAAGAATATATTTTTTGAAAAAGTTGAAAATACTTTTGTTTTGACAATTTCCAAATGAACAATTGTATATTGTTTTGAGAAAAGTTTCATTTTATGATTTACCTAAATTATTTTTTAAGAAGAAACCTGACAATGGAATGATTTTGCTTTGGTTTCTCTATCCAGCTTAGCAAACCAAAATTAACTATTCACATACCTCTACAGAGGAATAAGGGATATAGCATATGTCTACACTGAAGCATGCCTGAACAAACTTACCCTAAACAAATTTACCTGGTTTTGGTAACAATAGTAATGAAGACACTGCAAGAGAGACTTCATCAAGGGCATCCCATCCCAGTAGGTACCCTGGGTCCTGGATGGGTTTATACAGCTCCATACTGAACCCTATTATGCTGTGACTGATGTTGTCAATGGCCAGCTAGCTAGGTTAAAGGTAGCTTGGATACATCTACATGGTGCTGGGTAGTCACAACTACTAATTGTAGTGTGGATATCTGAGGCAGATAAAACCATGCCTTCCTGCACACATCTGCAGTCTGTTGGCCTGGTTTAGAAGGAGCTCCAAGCTAGGAGTGCTGTTTGTACAGTTTGTATGGAAAACAGGACTGAATGGGTTAAATTAAAGTTTTCTCTTCTCCCTCTTTCTTCAGATAACAGGATCCCTTATCTATGCTGTTTGCATTGCTGCAATTGGATCGCTCCAGTTTGGCTACAACACTGGAGTCATCAATGCTCCTGAGAAGGTGAGAGAGCGTGAGCCAGCTGGGTTTTTGGGACTTCTGAGTAGACTTACTGCCTCCACAGGAACCGCT